GTGTGTGTGTGTGTGCGAGTAATATCATTAGGATTTGGACGAGTAGGCATTAGCTTCAGCTCAAAGAGTTGTGCCCGCCGATGTAAAGTTTGTTTGAGATATTCGTCGTTCTCTCTCCGGAGAATGAAACGGTGGGAAAAGAGGAGAACGAACGAAAGAACAGCAACAAGAAGAAGCATAATTGGGAAACGCACAAATACAACTACCTCTAAAGTTGTTACGATTTACTCACCTCGTGCTTGATTTACTTTAATCCAATAACTGTAAACAAAAGTATCACGTTGAGTCCTTTTGAATAAGAAAGCTATCCGATATCGGAGGACACCACACAGAATGCAAAAACCACTACTAAATCTACATATATTATTTCCGTAACGACAATGACACACCAGGTCAGATAAATCTTGTAATGTGTCACTGGAGTTGTCAGTGAAGTATGGAGGAAAGACAATAGAAAGTTACAACTCACACTGTAGACCACAGGCAAAGTGAAACCTGCGCGGGTGAGGAACGGACACAGTTACGCGGTTTTAGTTTTCTCATTGATCAAAGCACGATGGTTGGTGGGGAGTGCGAGAGAGAGAGAGAGGGGGAGGGGAGGAGATGGGGGGAAGGAGGAGGGGGAGGAGGCAGGACGAAGAGAGCGAGGGAGGGAGGGAGGGAGGGAGAGACGGACGGGGGGAGGGAGCGAGCGAGGAAGCGCGCGTGCAAAACGTGTGACGGTGATGAAGGGGAGACCACCACCATCAAGAGGGGGACGAAGCGGGTGGGCAATGAGTCGCTTTACGAAATCCGGATAATTATGTTTGTGCACCTCTTCGGCAAATAATATGATATGAACCGCTTCGTCAAATTATGGGTTAGAAGAACTTCGACAAACGGGTTAGCATCACTTCAACAAATGGGTGCACCCTCTTCGGCAAGCGGGTCAGGAAAGGGAGTAAAGTGTGTGAATTCGGATAATGTTTCATTCATATTTATCCGGTTATCCGGATAGATTATCCGGATTTTGCCCCCCTTTTGACGAAGCGGGTGGGCTCTCACCAGCGGAGACCGTACTGTGGGAGACAGAGTGAGTGAGAGTGAGTACTACTGAGCAGAGGGCAGTTGTTGAGAGCGGCATGCCTCGTTGAGCAGCGGTGGACAAGGGAATCGTTTTATGAGCCTGCTCTGATTGCATACATTATTGATGTTTTCTTTGATTGCTTTCATTCTTCTGTCTCTGATTTGTCTGCACGTTAGGTGGACAGGTTAGTTTTAGTGAGTGTTTTACGGCGCTTGAAACACATTAAGGTCATATTAAGTGCCGAAGATTAGAAGTGTTACAAGAGAGTAAGAAACATAAAAAAGAAAAGGAAGATATAGGGGCGATAGATGTTTGATAGGAACGAAGGAGCAAACCACACCAGAGCGCACGCCAACCCACAAACCACGGAGGACAGGTCAAATCGACCTAGATAATATGTGGTCTTACAGTTTTACACTTGAAGAACACCCTGGTTCGATTCCTGTGTGGTGAGAATTTCTTCTTGGTTTTTTATAAAGTAGGCCTATCTCTCGTCTTTCTGCTTGGACGTTGTAATTGTCTCAGCCAGGAAAGTTGGTCCTGACAGGCAGGTTCGGGGCTGCCCGCCTCCTAAATGATCCGAATTGTGTCCGATGGATGTGTGTGGGAAGAGTAAAAAAAACACCTACATGAAAAAGGAGACAGATTGTAACGTCGACACATGGACGGGAGGAGCTACCCTTGAGGAACATTTTCTACGTTTATTGCCCGAGATCAAATCTAAGTACACATATAAGTTAGACATAGTAAAATCTTTTGATACGCAATTTTATTTTGGCATAGCTACAACAGTTGCTATGGAAACGGTCGCCATCTTGAAAATAAACAATGAATTTGAAATCCCTAAGTAATATGATCAGATTACACAATGCTTCATTGACTTATACAACTGTTTGTGTTGGTGACGTATCTTTTTTTTTTAAGTCTAAAGAAGGAGACTGTCTCCCGCGCTGTTACTTTTGTTTTGAGAAGATCAGTATTGAAGATTTGAATTTCTTCCAGTCTGACATAATATATTGTCATACTTGTATAATCCTTCTTCTTTAGACTTTTTTTTAAAAGATACGTCACCAAATAATAATAATAGATAGCATTTGTATAGCGCATATCCCCGCTCAACAGCAGGCTCTATGCGCTTTACACTATATTATTACCCCAACAGACCATAGAACACTCCGAAACATTCTCAGCTTCCCAGGAAGCATACAGTGCAAGCAGCTGATTAAGCGCTCAAACACTAACAAGCTCACAAGATCATTCGCTGTCTATAGCCGGGTACCCACTCCCATCTGGGTGAAGTGAGGAAAATTCGTGTAAAGTGCCTTTCCCAAGGACACAACGTCGGGGTCCCTGACGGGATTCGAACCCACGACCTTACGGTTGCGAGTCCGAGAGCCTAACCACTAGGCCACCGACGCCACATTAACACAATTTGAGGGTTTAGTTAGGCGTTTCTGGTTCGTGTATGCGACTGCTTCTTAACAGACAATCTTAAAATAGTATGCATAATTTAACTTTGCATGCATGGAAAAGGTGGTGTGGAACGTCGAAAAGGGGGGGGGGGGAGGGTAGGTAAGACAAATATGAACTAGACTGCCAAACCAAACATTGAACTAGTCACTATAGAGTTTACACAACTAAAACGAACAAGCTGATACTAGTTGAGGATAGTCTCTCACACCTGCTGGCCACTTGACCCTTTGACCAGTCAGTCAACGATCCAGACGTATAGCAATTGGCGCTCTCGTCTGCAAACAGCACCGTTTCTAGATAGATCAAACTTCGCACTTTTCACAAAGCAATGAGATTGATCCTAGCTCGAGTATCCGTTTATGGATTTTTTTTTGTTTCTTTTTTCATCGCCCAATCTAACAAATTTACTCCATCTGGTTAGCATAGCGCTGTGCAGGTGATATGATAGTACACATAAATGTGTAGTCAGCACACGGTTATGATACAGCTAGTTTTGAGGTTGGTAGATTGCACACTATTAATCTTATACAGTAACGATTCCCTTCCTCCCTCGAGACTGTCCGGACTTTTACACGTTAAGAGTAGGTTCAGGATAGTTATGTTTTAGAAGGAGTTTGACGGCACTTGCAACACAATAAGGTCATATAGGTGCCGAAGATTAGCGATGTTACAAGAGAGTAACAAACACAAAAAAGAAAGAGGGGAGATATGGACGGTAGATGTTTGGATATATAGGAAAGAAGGAGCAAACTACATTAGAGCATCCGCCAACCACCTACCTGGATAGTTATCAGAACCGTGTTATTAAGAACACAACCGTGATATATTAGAACACACGCCTAACTTCTGAGAATTTCTGTTGTTATTGGCGTTCCAAAGCTCCCCTCTTAGTTCTCTGGGAATGGGTACCCGGCTATAGACAGCGAAAGATCTTGTCAGTTTGTTAGTGTTTGAGCGCTTAATCAGCTGCTTGCACTGTATGTTTCCTGGGAAGCTGAGAATGTTTCGGAGTGTTCTATGGTCTGCTGGGGTAATAATATAGTGCAAAGCGCATAGAGCTTGCTGTTGAGCGGGGATATGCGCTATACAAATGCTATTTATTATTATTATTATTAATTGGCGCCTTTTACTTGTAATCACGGGTTGTTGTTGTTATTATTGTTTGTTTGTTTGTTTGGGTTGTCGTATTTTAGATATTGCACAGGTATAACAAACAGGTATTTCCTCTCACTGTGCCTGTTTTCTGGGGGAAAGAAATATGGCTCTATATATAGATATATCTAGTGTCAGATGTAGCCTTTCCAAGTTGAAGAAGCATTGTGACTACTGTCTTGTTCAGCGTGACTGCACCTAAGCTTTGTAACATCTACTGACATTGTATACGGCCAAGACAAATTTGTCTCTCCCAGATTAATAAAGACTGAGATTGTCATTGTCATGCATTGTCATTGGCACAAGAAGTCCCATGTTCTCCTTTTTTAAAAACCCAGAAACAACAGGAACATTGTAAAGAGGTAGAACATACCAGCTTCACCCTCCAGCCACCCACAGAGACAGCTCAAACTGCCTGGAATGATGCCAGATGGATACTGGCAGAGTAACCGCTAGTGACTGACCGCTACATTGATTGGGAAGACTGGCTTACTGGCTTATTATCAGACTAGTTTGTTGACCGACCATTGTCCTGATCGTTAACTGATTAGTCAATAGTTCACCGAGATTGCTAATAGTTTCCACATTTAGTTCCTGATTGTTCGCTCCGTGATGATTGAAACTTTGCCTCAGATCTCGTTCTAGTTGTATAATAAAATATAAAAAATCAAACGTGAT